CAGCTGACTGGGTAGGCGACCGCTGGAAAGCCTCGTAGAGTGTGGGATGACAGCAGTCAGTGCTGGGAGGGCACTGGACGTGAGGGCCTCTCTGAGTTTCACTAATTACGTTTCATATTCTGCATATCTTTAGACAAGTGAAACAAGATGGAAATGGAACTGACATTTATACCAACAAATTCTTAAATAATATTGAATACAAAAGATGAAGTTTTATCTGTATAATATTAATGTTAATATTAATATTATTACATAACCATATTAAACAATATTAAATTCATTTAATATAAACATCAAATAATTAATAATGATTCAATAATTAATATTAAATAATATTAATCGTATTAAAATGTTGATCATATCAAAATTAATAATATCATTAATAATAACAATGTAGTATAATATTTCTCTAAGGGTACTAAAGGCTTTTCCAGAGATTGAGACAAATCACTACTGTTTGTATTTTGTTTTTCCTATTAAGAAAGAAGGTCTCTCATCTGCCTGGGAAGGGAGGTTCCCTGTCCTGCTGGAGACCCTCGGGAAAGGGTCAACGTCATGGGAAGAGCTGTGCGACTATTACATTCCATCTATTTATGGTTATTTTAGGATCAGCAGATTCAGGGAATGAAAGGGAGAAGTAATTAATGTTAATTGTTCTTCGTCTATAATTTACACAGCTCTCACAACCACCCTGAGATAGATCTGGTAAATAAGGAAGCTGACACTCACAACCGTCACTTGGCTTGCCAAGTAGACGTCAGAGCCAAGGATGAAAGGCAGAACTGTCTGACCCCTCAGAGCCCTAGCTTGTGGCCCTGCACCAGGCTTTCACAGACCAGGTAATTACAGAACTCAACTATTTCATTAATTCAAGAAAATTAAATTATAATATGAATGATATTATTATATTACATTTTTGAATAACTGAATTTGATGGATGTTAATAACTAAACTTGAATTAGATCAAATTCAAATTAAATTCCAGTAGTCAAATATATATAGACCAACACCTGCTAGGAAGAGGACACAAGGGGGCTGACGTCCTCACAGGGGAGAGACAGGCCTGTGCAGAGGCTGTGAGCGCTCTGAGGGCCACACGTAGGGTGGGCGGAGAGTCCCTGGAGAAAGGCCTCTCTGAGGAGGGCCATTGGTGCTGCGGCAAGAAGGGGTGAAAGAGGCCAGGTGGGGGACAGGAAGAGTGGCAGCAGAGCTGAGAGGCAAGGAAGGCCTGCCTGGTGCCAAGGCAGAGAAGAGAGGCAGCGCCACGGGAGAGGGCAACTGCAGAGCAAAGTCTCAGACCCACGGGGAGGGTGAGCCTTGCAGAGTCAGGCTGCCTGAGAGAGAAACGAAGGGCGGGCAAAGACTCAGAGGAATCCTGAGGAGCCTGTGGAGGCAGCTGAAGAGGCTCATGCAGGACAGCCTCAATTCTCAGGTGAGGCCAGCGGAAGAGGCTCAAGAATAAGATTTGGAGAGGCCTGTGATGGGCATGGTGTGGAAGGACCAGCCTCTGGACTGGACTGTGGGCTCCACGTGGCAGGAGTCAGGCCTTATACTTCTTCTGAACACACACTAGACACGCTGCAAAACGACAGTAGACCAGTAAACGCTGGCCTGGGCCACACTGTTAACTTTTGTGTACTTTATTTCCTTTTTCCCACCCACGTGATGGTAAATGGAAACCCAATTGCACAGCTTCCAGAACCAAGCATAGGCTTGCCTGGAGAAGCTAGGCACATTCAAAGTTTAATTAAGTGCTGTGCACTAAGGACTAATTAAGTGCTGAGGGGCCGGCTGGGGAGGGGATTAGGGAGCTGGGACAAGGGTGAGACTGGGTCATCTGCCCTCATGAAAAGGAGGCCCCATCTCAGCACTGACACAGTGACCATTTAAGAGTATAGTTTATACTCTGGTCGACTTGATCATCATCTTTATGTTGATAAAAAATTATGTAAATAATAACATATATTATGTCCATTATCTCATTACTGTGGAGTTTTCTTAGTCACTTCACAGAATGTTAGATGCTGAAATGATTGTATTCCCTCTGCCAAAGGGAAAGCTTTAAAGATCTCATGGAGATGAGATTTCTATAGATTTTGGAAAGGGAAGACGGTTTCTTTAAAACTCTGCCAGACATATTCAGGCGATGCGCCTAATGCAGTGCCTTGCACACGGGAGGCCCCCTGTGTGAGCTGCTGCTGCTACCGCTGCTATTCTGCATGGACAATTTTTAAATAGCTGCTCCAGAGGAAAACCCAAGTTAAAACAAGAGAAAGCAAGTCAAAACAAACAAATTCCACATCCATTAAAGAGCAGCCAGGAGTGATACTCACCTTTCATAGGACTTAATTGCCTGTTCTACTTTTTGCTTGTAGATGTTGAGGTTGACTCCTTGGGGGTTAATCAGTGTCATCTTATTTGTGTCGTGGCACACATGTGCCAGAGGGAACACCTGCGCATCAATGCCAAAGGAAAATGTCATTTGATAGGTTAATGCATGCCTTCAAAAATGGTCTACATGGCTGGACGGTATGTTTTTCCAACTGTAAAATCAATACATTATAATAGTAGAAAAATTAGAAAATACAATCATAAAGAAAAAAGTAAGAATCAGAGATATCATTGCTACCCTTTTCATTTCAACTTTTAAAACTATATACTTTGAAAATAACTACCACCACACACACAAGAAAACAAAACTGTTTCAGGAAACCCTAGTCAGAACTGAGTGTTATCTTCATAAGCCTCTGTCAAATTGATGAGAGTGACTGATAAGAAATCGGAGCTCATTGTTGGTACTTTGTAAATTACTAGTTGGGTTAAACATCTTTTTTCATATACTTATTCATTTGGTTTTCTCTTGAAGATACCCGATTATGGTTACTTTCTTTTGACCATTTTCTTTCTCAATTTATGAGGTTCTTATAGATATGAAATAGAGAAGGCTTGGTGATCAATGAAAGAGAGGGCTTCTTTTGAGTTCTTTCTGGCCACATCTGGTGCTTACTCCTGGGTCTGGGGATGTCTCTGACTCCACGCCATCTGAATACTACCGGTAATATTATATGTTTACCTTTTTGCATATTGCCTACCTCTCCCTAACAGAATGTAAGCTCCATCAGAGCAGGAACTTTTCTTTATTCACTACTGTATTCCTATCACCTAGAACAGTGCCCAGCACATAATGTGTCCTCAACAAATATTTGTGGATAAATGAACAAATGTATGTTCATGAAAAGGTATATTCCATATCTTAATATTTAAAAAAAAAAGAAAAAGAAAGTCTAATAGGAGAATACTAAGACACGATATCATTTCAATATTGCCTATGATTCCAACCACAAGGAGCATGTAGGCATTTTGGAAATGTGGGGAATTACTTTTAAGAAGTAAATCTTTACTTTCAATCAAGATGATATAGTTCGTGCTTTTATGTTCCCCCTTGCCTCCAAAATCATGCCAAAATTGTACTGTTGTTGTTATGTAAGAAAAAAAGGAAAAAAAAGAAAAAAAGAAAAGAGGAAGGAAAGAAGGAAAAAGAAAGATGCATGGTTGACAGATTTCTAGAGACAGAAAGTTGAACAGAACTGTGAACAAGTCGGCAGGGTTGAAGCTCTGGGCTTGTTGACTCTGTGTCCAAAGATGGCAGGGGAGTGGGAGCTCAACTCCTGGGAAGCAAGTGAGACTATGAGCGCTCTGTAAGACAAGGGCCCACATCAGCCTCAGTCCTGAAGCCAGCACTGGTGTGAGGATGTCTCACCCCTGAAAGAAGGCCCTGCATATCGAGAAAAAGCCCTGATGTAGCCTCGCAACCAAGGACTCAACCAAGCCACCCGCCGTCTACAGCATTCCCCTATCAACATGGAACTGGAGCTCAAACCGCCAACCAGGGGGTGCCAGGGGATGGACTTAGGCAACTACAGAACAGAAGGAGAAAGAGAGAAAGACAGATTAAAAACATCTTGTTAAAATGAGCCAGCAAACTAAAATTCCAAAGTATACACACAAAAAATGCCAAAAATGATAGCTGAGCAAATCAACAATCAGAATGTCAGTTCATTTGAGAAGAGGTTAATTTTATGAGCCATCTAACAATAACTTTATATTAATTATGCTTAAAATTAATTATGATTACGTTGTTCAAAGATGTAACAGTCATATAGAAGTACAAAAACATACAGAAGTGTGATGGGGAGAAATGGATAAGAAAAAGAATAATATTTTAAATAATAAAATAAAATATATCTTGGAAGACATAGGCATTAAAATGGAAAATTACATATATTAATTTTGTTTATTTAATTTTTTAATTAATTAATTAAAACATCAAGACCTAAGCAAAAACATAGGCAAAGCTTTAAAAAACTGAAAAGAAAGAAGTGAAGAGGCTGCATAGTCAAACTTGTCAGACACATAAATTTATCACGTGGCTTCTAAGCCACCTTCATCAAAGGGAAAGAGCCAGAACAGTGCATTAAAAGGTGAGTAGACTGGACTTTGAAAACAGAGGAAAGCTTGCAGAAGTGAAAAAAAATCCAAAGCCCATCTTTCAAAATAGAGCCACATATCACAGGAACTTTCAGAAGAAAAAAAAGTCAGTCTCAACAAATGAAAGACCCTCATGTTTTCATCACCCCTGGAAAAAACATCCTTAAGGAGTCTATAAATAGCTCTTCAAGCTTGCCAGCTTTTATGGCTCAATTGCAAATCACTATCACAAAATATTTAACAACATTATAGTATTTCACCATGCTCAGCTTGACTCCTGACTTAATGTACTTGAAGAATGTACTTAATGTACTTAAAGAAACCCTATTGTTTAATGTTCTACCTGCCTCTTTTGTGAATTTGGATCTCATGCGTTGCACGGCCATCGTGTACTTCTGTGTGGTAGTAGTTCAAATCTGGCTCATGTGCACCCACTCTCATTCCTTTCTGCTTGCAGATTTAGGGAAAGACAAAGTCATACTCCACACCGGCAGTCTGTGGTCTTAGCTTTTACAACATGGTGGTCATGTGGAGGTCCCATGAGATATTCTCTTTATGATGTCAAATTTACTGTGATTATGAGGTCATAAGGGGCATTCTCATAGGGACTTAAGGGATCGGAATCATGGCCACTCTACTTCTGCAAGGAAGGGGGTTGGGAGGAGAGTGAGATTAATGAAGAAACTGACAGCTCTGTTTGAGAGGGAAGAAAACCAGCTGATCACACTTCCTTTGAAAATGGTTTACTTATTACCTCTTATAATGCAAATCAAGCAAAACCAACTAATGAGGGGCTCTTCTGGACAATATTTGATAACCAAAGAGAGCCTCAAGGTATTACCTACTTCAGTTCTTTTGATGTTAACCTAGAAGCCTAACCAAATTGATATTAATAATCACACCCTGTGTGGGAAGATTTTAACTATGGGGGAGGGAGGGAGGGAGGAAAGGTGGTAGAGAGAGACTGAGATCGAGAGAGAAACGATAACAGCAGAAGAGCTGGAATTCACTGCCAATTTGGGCTGATTCTGTTAGACTTTTCCCACTGTTGGATCAGAGATACCCTGTAAGCAACCACTGTAGTTGAGAATAGTTTCATCAATAATAATAACAGTGTTTCTCCTGTACTCTCTACCAAGCACGGGGCACTCTCTACATATTTTCTCATTCAACCTCTCTAGATATGTACACTGAATTGCGGTTTTTTAATATGGCTTCCCTTTCCACTAAACTCTATAGCTCTTTATTCCTTTTTAAAAACAGTAGTTTCTAGTACAATACATGTACAAAGTAACTACTAATTGAACACATGAAAGACTAAAACCAAATATAAATTAAAATAATGGTCAAGGCTCAACAACTTTTAAAAGTTTATCTATATTATAAGACATAATTAAGTTTGGATTCTACCAAATTTGAATTCTTGGTGATTGAGGTGTGGGAAAAGTGTAACTCTGCTATTTTTAAAGTGGTGTTTGCTAAGAACGAGAATAATGCAAACAAGATTTTCAGAGTATATTTAACTTACATAAGAAAACTATTCTCAAATAATAAAAGAACAGAAAATTAAAATGAAATATTTTCACACAGCAATTGGCAAAGATACGGAAAAAACTGCCCGATAACAGGGGGATAGTTAAATAAATCATGGTAATTCATATTATTGAATATTAGTACAACCATTAAAGTTCATCTAAACACGGTCGTTACAAGGAAATATGTTCACAACATATGCTAAATGAAGAAAGCAGGATGCAGAACTGTACACACAGCTGTTTGTTAAAATAACACAGGTAGAATTCTACTTGACAACATCCTGGCCGTGTTTATAAGCAATCCCACAGCATTTTGAAAATGGAAAATAGTGTGAAACTGGTGTTTACATATTTATTGTTCAACCCCAACTAAATTCACCAACTTCACTGTTTTTCAAGTAAATCACTTCTTCCAATAAATATCCCTGAGCTTGCTGCCAGATTGGCCAAGGAGAGGTCTGATTGGCCGTTGAGTAATGAAAATGCAAAAGCTGTGCAAATCCCACGCGGATGACTCTGGACATAGAGGCGATGACATTATAGACATGGCAGTTGTACACACTGCTGAGCGCTGAAGCTTAACTTCTGCTTTCAAACAGAAACATCTCCAGGCTCCACAGAAGAAAATGAAGGCAGGGCCACAAATTAACTGGCAAACATATGTGTCAATAAGATCCTGCATAAATGCATGAAAATCTGTTACTGCAGTGTAGATTACATCTCACATTTTTCAATCTACACTTTTAAAAGATAGAAAGATTATTTTTTCAATTTAAATAGTATAGTAGATGAATATTTGCTGGCATGAAATGATGTTCACAATAGGTTGTTGAGTAAAAATGAAGGTACAAAACAGTATATTCAGTTTGACTTCATGTTGGTAAAACTAAAACAAAAAACAACGGATAAATATGTAGAGAAAAAGGTCTGCCCAGATAACCACCAAATGATTCATCTTTGGGGAATTAAAACTCATTTCTTTCTCTTTCACTTATCTGTATCTTCTAGTTTGTCTACACAATGAATACATACAGCTTTTGTAATAACTGTCCTTTTAATTTTTGAATTAAAATAAGCTTTTCTATCAGTTCAGTTTTGAACGCTACAATATTTGAAAGCAACAAATCACCATGTCTCTAGCGGTATGCCTAAGCTCTTGGCACCTAACATTCCTTGTCAGCGAAATGAGATGAACAGCCACCTCACTAGGTTGCTCTAAGTTTTAGATGAGAAACTTTGATGAGATCAAATGCTTCTCTCAGAACCTAGTATGAGGTCTCACCACATAGGAGATTTGGGACCTTGCCATGGCCCATCAGGAGTAAATGACAGAGCTGGGGTGCAAGCCCAGGCTACCTGACCACAAAGCTACATGCTGAACCCAGATAAGGGCAAGGCAGGACGCCTGATTCCATGCTGCTAAAGACATGATGATGATCATGATGATGCTGATGTGGACTTTCCAAAGGTACAGACTAATGTTCCCAAATTATTTCGCTTTTATTTTCAAAGCAACTGGCAATACACAGCTTTGAATTCCAGATTCATCAAATAACTAAAACCATTTTATTCTGTATATGATTTGGGGATGAGTTAATCTTTTGAAAGACCTAAGGTAAAATTTTCTGGTCCATTGGAAACTAAAAGTGCCAGTTAGCATCATGTAATGAAGAGTTGCCAGGGCAACCTGCCTGCTCAGTACTTCATTTCCAAGGTGACAGATTTGATGCTGGACCAGGAGACACTGAAAATCAAAACAGCATTGTGCTCCAGAAGAAGAAAGAGCCCGTACATAAGTCATGAATGAAACAAAGAGCTGGGAACAAAGCCAAACACTGCTTTATGGTTCTACCCAGACAGATGTGGCCGTGCACAGAACATAGGAGAAAAAGTCAATTACAGTTCTCAGTGAAGTGGGTTAAGATTCATGTATCCTTTTCGGCTTCATTCCACTTTTTGTCTACTTTTTCATAAAATGTTAGGACCAAATCTCAAAAGGCCATACATCTCACTAAGTGGGATATATGTTTCGATAATTGTTTTCCTATTCTTTCCATTTATAGCTGAGGGTCTCTTGCAGTCAGAGGAAATATTAAGGAATAAAAGAAGTGAGCGTGCTTTGAGGGTGAAATTGGAATTAACTGCAGTGTATTTCCACCACCATCGTGATTCTTGCTCCGCCAATAATGGAGGAGGCTATGCACGCTGGGCAGTGTGCTGCCCACCCACGGGTTCGCGATGAGAATTTACAAAGCCACAAAAGGCACCAAGCACAAATGCCCACGGAATGCACTTGAAAAATGTTCACCCTCTTCCCTGGGCTTTGCTTTCTAGAGTCAGAAGACTAGAATGTTCTTCTGAAGAACAGGACTCTCACTACTCTTTATCCTGGTTTTCCCTTCTGGATAATCACTCGACATTCTTCTCTCTCTCAGCCACATGTGATTAGTCCCGTCCTCTTGACTTTACAAACAGCCTTGGACCCACCCCCAGTGTTGGCACCTGGGACAGAGTCGCCTAAGCCTTGCCTCCTGACTGCCCCTTATCCTCCCAAACTCAGAGCTCTCCAACTATTCTCCACACTGCAGCCAAAATCCAAATTTGATCTTCTCTCTTGTTTGCTAAAAACCCTTCAGTTCCCCTCAGGATGACATTGGAAATCTTTAACTCACCCAAGGCCTCCTTCACCAGCTTTAACGTCTTCCCCCAGTCACACTAAACCTTCTCAGGAATGACAAACTTTCTCTGACCCTTGGACCTCTCCACATGTTCCCCCACTGCCTAGGACACTCCTCCTGCCTCATCACCTTCACAACTCCTCTCTGCCCTCCATCCAAACTTGGACTGAACAGATCCCTCAGGTCCGAACTCTTAAGGCCAGGTCCAAAGCCTCCTCTGACAACTGACACCGGGCTAGGGGCTTATCCTGCATCCTCACGCTGCACTTCCCACTCGTCACATTCGACTAGAACTTATTTTAATTGCTCCTTTCTCTGCGAGATTATAAATTGTGTTTGGGTAGGAACATTGGCTGTCTTGTTTGGCTGTATTCTAGAGGCCAGCTCAGGGCCTGCATACAGTAGGCATGTAATACTTATTGAATATTTTTATAATAAAGGCCAGTATTTATTGAGTGTCTGCTAAGTACTGTCCATTATATGCATTACTTCTTTTAATCCTACAGCAGTCTCAGAGTAGGTATATTATGATCCCCAGAGTACAGATATATTACATACATCCTGGAGAGCAAATTTCTGGATGCTGGAGGGAGTTACTACATTCACGTATTCAGAGTAAGAGCCGGTGAGAAGAGGACAAGTTGAATAAGAATAAGATTTTATGTTTGCCTGCTATTTTCATGGTTCTCAAAACATTTCTACACTCGTTGAACTAATGCTTATCAACAAGTATTATATAGAGTTCCTGTTAGGAAAAAGGCTGTCTTGGGTCCAGCTATCCCATCTCTGGGAATCTATTCTAAAGACACACTTGTACATGTGCCCAAAATCTATCTGCAAGGAAATCTGTTACAGGATTGGTTGTAATAGACAAACACAAAGTAAATGTCCATTAATAACAGGGAAGAAGCTTGCAAAGAATAAGAATAAGATACACTCATGTCTATGCACGCAGAAAGGTCTCTAAGATCTTAATTTTTTAAAGATAATTTGTATAAGATGAAAGATAATTTAGAAAAGATAAAACATCAAGTCCATATGGGATTGATTTGTTTATTAAAATTATCATGTATATGTATATAAATGTACATTCTGTATACACATACATATGCGTGTGTGTGTAGAAAAAGGATTGAAAGGATATTTGCCAAACTATTCAGTGTTCCCTTCATAGATGAGAGCAGTTGAGGGAGAAGCTTCCACATTTTTCTCTAAAGGCTTCAATTGGTCATTCTATACCTAGAACGTATTCATTTATTACTTATCAAATAAAAATAAACCAACAAATTAATTAAAAATTAAGTTCCTTTGGTATTTACACCATTTTATTATTTGTTTTAGGTCTGTTTCTCTTAACATTTTTTCTTGGTGTATCATTAATACATATTCAAAGTTAAAAGTATGACCACAAAAACGAAAAAGCACATAAACAAAATCCAAAAATCTTTAATAATCTCACCACTCAGATAAATACTGTTAACATTTTGGTAAAAGTGAAAAGGGAGGGTGAAAGAGTGCCATGCCCACATCATACTTATATACAAATTAACATATTATATACAGAGTTTTGTACCCTGATTTTTTCATTTAGCATTATATTGAGAGCTTTTTCCCACGTCATTACTTATGCTACAGAAACACAGTGTTTAATGGATATATGACATCCCATCATATAGATGTGCCTACCAGATATTTAGATGGTTTTCAATTTTCTCATTTTTAGATATAAGGCAGCAATAACAATTCTGACAAATTCTGACAATGTATTTGTCAGTATTTCTGATTGTTTCCTTGCATAGATTATGAAATATCTACATATGGGTTTGCTGGAGGAAAGACTGTAAGCCAACACCTCTGAACACATTGCCAAGGTTGCGCCAATTTATACTCCCACCAGCAGGACATAAAAGTTCTAATTTCATCCCATCTTTGCCATCACTGTTTATTAGTATTTTTTAACCATAAAAATTTGATAATGGTTGAGAGTTGTCTAATTTTTTTTTCAATCTGCTTTTTTTCTAAATGCATATATTTGGTTATCAGTAAGAAATATTTTTGTCTTTGGTTTTGACCTTTTTTTTTTCCTACCTTTTTCTCCTAGATTTTCCACTAGGGTATCTATCATTTTTTTATTCCTTTATGGCATGAGTGTGCATATCTGTATATATACTGAACACTGACACTGATTTATACACTCACACACACACACCACACGTATGGATTTATATGGATACAAACACACAAACACACATATCTAAGATATTTCTCATACAACTCTGTGATATGTTAAAAATATTTTTCTGATATCTGCCTTTATTTGATTAAAATATTTTTATGCAAAATAACATTTTTATGTATTCACTCTATAAATCCTTCCCTTATGGTTTTTTCCTTTAATTTTATGCTTATGCTCCCCCACCCTATCATATTAGTTTTTTGAGGGATTTACTTTTCAATGCATCTCAGGTAACTGGAGGTTTAGAAGGAGACAGGGTAAGCGCAAGAAAATTCTATTCCTAGGGAGAGTTCACTAAATATATTTTATTCCAGGTAAAACAAGAAAATTAATAAAATAAATGCAGAGAATATGAGAAGCTGTCAACAAATTTCCTAGAAGAAATGAATCAGTGCCCAGTTTCCCTGTGTTGCTTCCGGAAGAAGTCAAGTTCACGTGATAAGTTGATATCTGACTAATCAGGTTAGAGCTCACTGAAGGTATAAATAGAATCTGCCAGTCACAAGATGACAGCCAGGGAAAGACCACGCACCTTGCGGCAAAGTCATCAGGAGCTCAGCCTAAGCGATCACACACCACCTCCAGAGCAAGAACCACGGGCCATGTCAAACCAGGACGCATGCTGAACTCCATGGCTGTAATTTCTTAACTGTGACTAATCGAAAAATTCACTAATTCATCTGCTTCCTCCTGGTTCCTTCCATCGAACCTCAGCTAGAGCAAGACTAGGTAGATAAAGCTGGGGTCTTTTCAACTTTCTATTAGGGGAAATTTCAAATATGTAAAACAGTAGCCAGAAGAGTAGAATGAGCCTCCTCTCACTCTATATTCTTATTACCCAAATTTAACAATTATCAGCTCAAGCCAGTCTTGCTTTATCTACTCCTCCTGCCCCTCCACTACTCCCACCATCCAGATTATTTTGAAGCATATCCCGAACAACTCACATTTCCCCTGTAAATATTTCAGTATGAGATAAGGTCTTTTAAGGATATTATTTGCATTTAGAGACTGTAAAGCCTGATATACTCCTCGTGAAATTCTTAGCTACTGTTACATTGGCCAGGAAGCCCCGGGGTTCCATCTTCATATCCTTGTTTCTTTCCTGTTCCTCATCCCTGTGCAATCTGGCTGCCCCACTGCAGCTGCTCTTGCTGAGGGCCAGGACCCACCAGCTGCCCCATTCAAGGGAAGCTTTTCACTACTTCTTTGCCTTCCTCCACATTTAACCCCACCACGCCCTCCTACTGGAAGCTCTTTTACTCCTTCCAGGACATGACAATCACTCTCTTCTTTTCTGGCTCCCTCACAGGGTCTCTCACAATCCCTCAGTCTCTCTGTCTCTGTCTCTGCCTCTCCCTCTCTCTTTCTCTCTCTGACATTTCCTTTGGAGTCTTTTACGATGGAACAGCAGCACTGTATTTAGGAAGGGAAGGGAAGCAACGGAAAGACATAACCTCTCTCAAGTTCTCCCTACCCTTTGACATTGGGTGATGTCCACTCAAGACTCAGGACTCTGAGCTGGAGGCTTTTCAGACAGTTCTGCAGCTCCACACTGCTACCCGTCAGCAGCGAGCCACGAACAACCAACCTGACAAAGGCCAATTTCTTCTCGCCTTAAAAATAAAAATGCTTAAGGGCTTTTCTCTCTCCATTTTACTGCCTTTAAAATAATGCTTTTCCAATAGCTGAAATACATTTCTGTTACAACTGTACAAGACTGAAGTGAACTACTTTTTATTCGAACAGGAAATGAAAAATATATCAACTAGGGACATATAGAAAATCAGGTTTACCTCATCAAAGACCTTGGAAACAACATGCTTGTCCAGAATGGGAACATAGGTGGGGCTGTGAGGGACCGCTGTCACTGACAAGGCATCCATGATGGTGAGCTTCTTGGCGACCAAGCCGTGCGTCTTGAGCCAGGTTGCTGAAGACACAGCTAAAGAACTAAGAACACAAGACTGTGATGTTTTAAAGTTTATAACAGACAAAAACATAATGAAATTGTCCTAGTAAAATTAAAGTACTCACTCTTGGTCATAAACCTGGCTACCCTCTAGAGTCAATCTTTCTAATGCTTTGTCGTCTGGATACCCATTTGCCAGCAGGATGCTCATTTCTGTGAAAGGGGAAATGGCAGTTGTATAATTTCCTGATATATGGGGTTTTATCAAAATGCAAAAAGATCACTCATCTCTGAGCTCAGTTGTGACTGAGGGCTAATACATGGACCACATTTCAGAGAACAATGATCTGTTAGCATGGGAGATTCATTTGCAAGATTCATTTGCAAGTTATACTAAAGACCAATGCATAGGTAAACATGGTGCTATCATTGTACTATCATGGTACCATCATTGCTTTGTTTATCTACCTCACCCCATCTTCACTGAGATCTCTCTCCATGGAAGAATGAGACACACTCATTCTCTCATTCTCCAGAAAATACGTTTTTTAAATGTTAAATAAGAACACGATTAACCAACAATTGTTCAATATTACCCTCATTAGACTACCCCCAAGTTATACAAGGGAGCCTTGATCAACATTTTAGTTTCTGATAGTTTGTTTTGTGGTTCCTCTGCTCTACGCAGAAAACCCAAATCTCTACTAGGTCCTGTTTAGTTGTAGGTTCAAGTCTCCAAACTAATATTTGGAGTTTTTAATGTATATCCTTAAGAAAACTTGGATTTAGAAATGGAAAGGTATATTAGCTAGTTGAATCAGCAGAATCTAGGAAGGGCGTTTGGGAATGAGTTAGCCAAATGTCTAAGAAATCACATCCTAATCACCATACGATAAGCCCTTTAAGGATTGTGCACATAGCAGACAGAGGAAGTATGACAGTTTAATTGAAACTGAGGAAAAGCCATCACACCCATCAGCACTGAAGAACACGAGGTTTGATTAAGCTATGACTGAGTAACAACACGTATAAATTTGCCACTCAGGTGCTTCTTACTACCTAGGGGATTGTGTGTGTGTGTGTGTGTGTGTGTGTGTTTAGCTGGGATTTATCATCTATGAACTATTTGAAATACAGGGGAAAGTACTACAGGACTTAAACTTTCAGAAATTTACTATTTTAAGAATAGTGCTTTTATCAATAGTAATAAAAATTATGTGGAAATGTCATATTTTCCTCACATTTAGCCCCCAAAAGGCTGAAAGTATGGGCCAGAGAGGGGCTCTTAGATGGCATCACCACCTGTGAATGAAGGGAAGAAAATAAACCAACTATGAAGTCAGATTTTCAAACTCCAGCCACAGAGTGGCAGCAGCATTACCACTAGCACCACAGTGATGCGAGCCACGTGTCCATTACACACCCGGGCACAGTAAGCGCGAGTCTTGCCCTAGGAAAATCTAGTTCACTAAAGCAGATAGACCTGATTTACAGTGGAGTCCTCTGAAAAGGAAGCAATCTGGACCCACTTAACGATGATTTGTTTCCCCTCAAAGCATCTATACCCGCTTTTTCAGGAGCAGACACACTGGGTGAAGGGAGGTCAGCCTGGGCTTCCTGACCTAGAGACCCCTCTCTGGCTTGCCTCTGTCACGTGGAGTGTTCCAGCTGCTGGAATGGGAAAGGCCGTCCTTCCTCTCACTGCAAGCTGAGCTCTTGAGGGTGGACATCTGGCTTCTGAGCAGGCTGGTTTTGGTTGATTCTGTTGGTGTCACAGGGAGAGGGGTTAAAGAAACTTGGGATGGAAGAAGAAATTTTATTAGATAAAACTATTTCCTTGGATCCTCAAAAAAAAATGGCAGTTTCAGTTTCCCAACCCTCAGAGGACAGTCTGCCAGCAACTGAACGCTGTGGTAATGGCTTGGTCCATCAATCTGAGCCAAGCTCTACCCCTCCTGGAGAGAAATCTGCTTCCAAGCTCATTCAGGTTGTTGACAGAATGCACTTCCTTGCAGCTGTAGGACTGAGGTCCCTGTTCCCTTGCTGGCTGTCAGCCGGGGGCCTCGCTCAGCTCCTTAAACACCTGCACTCCTACCCACATGACCGTCTTCATCTTCAAGTCAGCAACGACACACTGAGTTCCCTTCATGCTTCAAGCCTTTCTGACTTTCCCTCTGCCGCTAGCTGGCAAAAGCCCTTGCTTTTAAGGGCTCATGTGAGTACACTGGGTCCCCTAGATAACCCTGTCTTAAGGTCAACGCAACATAATCATGGGAACGATGCCTCATCATATTCACAAGATGCAGGGTTTAGAGTGGGCCATCTTTGGTGGGCCATTTTAGAAACTCTTCTTACCACAGCTGCTGTCCAACAACTTTATTTATATTATTTTCTACCTTCTGGTTGGGTCCCTTTAACTAGCAAGTAGACACTTATCACACACTGACATTTAATCTGTGTGCTTTAGAGGACAATGAGCCTGTACCAAGACATTTTGATTACTTTTCAAATGTGATTAAATAAGCTACATTAATGGTCAATGTATTCTGTACTTCACAATTTAGAAGCAGAAATATCAAGGCTTTATGTAGTATTTATGAATGAAATGTATCCTTGTTTTCAACAAGAAGGGACTTACCATCTCCTATAAGAAATTAGATAATTAGAATGAAGATTAAGAATCTAAAAATTGTCTATCTTTGGCACAGAGAGGCAACATCAGTGGTTTCCATGCATAGAAATAGGAGTGTGCTATTCATCGTTTTCTAGGCAACAAAAGGGTGAGTCCCATCTTGGTTGCCTCTGTGACCAGAAATTAAGGATAAATTTCCTCGGGAACTATGCCTATCAGCAAAAGAGATAAATGATCCACACGGAAGAGGTGAACTCCTGCCCTGACCACACTTACAGGCCACTTTGACCAGAAGCACTAGGCAAAAGCAACCACATACACTGGTGTGCCAAAATGAAAATGACATTTAGCTCCAAAAGTTCCCAAATATAAAAACTGTACTTTTCTTAAACCCTGCAAATACTGAATAAAAACACATTTTTCTGGCAGTGTATTCAAGCATTTAACTACTCCCCAAGCTCTGTATATTGAATCCCCACATTTCATCACTCTTCTACATTAAAAATTGAAACAGAATAAAAATTCAGCACAGGACTGCCTATCAATAGCAAGGATCCAAAATCTAAGTGAAATGGTGGAAGCAATAAAAGGCCTTTAAAATGTTTAGGATGAATAGCAAGTAGCTTCTTTAGCAAAACTCAGACTTATTGGAATGGGGAGCAGGCCTGGCAAAAGGGATCCAGTCACACTCGGGGCCCGATGTGGGAAGCCTCTTTGTTCCCAGGGTCCAAGACATGCCTCCCTTGCACAGAGACACAAGGATAAATGGACAGCTCATGCAGGAGGGACCAAGATATAGTAATTAGCCCATTCCAGGAAGCCTCTTGGTCTCTCTGGGTTCAAGGATCTTCCCCTCATGCCCAGAGACGTGAGACAGTAGTGGGGGAAGCTGTAACAGTCCTCCCCCATGGAGAGACATCTAGCACCCCAACCTGAGGAAAGTCTTGCTGCTCTCTCAGGCAGCTGCAGCAGGGACCAGTAGGAGCCCCAGTGCCACCAGAAAACCAAGCACCAAAATAATACCACGAAGGCTGTGAAAATTAAATTGCCATCAGAACCACAGCTCACAAAAGCAGGCCAAGGCCTATGTGCTCACCTTAACCAGGGCAAGCACTTCCTAAAATAAACGATTTAAACAGGAGCCAGAGTCCCTTATGTAATAGACAAAATGTTAAAGATACTATTACAACATCACCCACCCTATCAAGAACCAAGAAAATCATACCTTGAAGGAGAAAAAACAGTCAAATGACTCCAACGCCAAAATGAATCAGAAGTTGGAATTATCTGACATGAGTCTCAAAGAAGCTGTCTTAAAAATGCTTCAACAATTAATTACAAATTACCTTGAAACAAATGAACGGATAGAAAATCTCAGCAAAAAAATAGAAGTTATAAAAATTCCCAAGTGGAAATTGTAGAACTGAAACATAAAATAACAAAAACCAAAAAAACTTGTTCAGGGGCTGGCCCGGTGGTGCTGCAGTTAAGTTCGCATATTCTGCTTCGGCAGCCTGGGGTTGGCCAGTTCCGATCCTGGGTCTGGACATGGCACCACTTGTCAAGCCATGCTGTGGTAGGCATCCCACATATAAAGTGGAGGAAGATGGGCACAGCTGTTAGCTCAGGGCCAGTCTTCCTCAGTAAAAGAGGAGGATTGGCAGCAGATGTTAGCTCAGGGCTAATCTTCCTCAAAAAAAAAAAAAAAGAGAGAAAAAAAACTTGTTGGATGGGCTCAGTAGTAGAGTGGAATTGACAGAGGACAGTATCAGAGAACTTGAGGACAGAACAGTAGAATTCAGCCAATTTAACAACAGAGAGGAAATACCTTGAAAAAAAGATAGAGTCTTAGGGAACTGTAGGACAAGATCAAAATATCCAACATTCATATTATCAGAGTTCCAAAAGGACAGGGAGAAAGAAAGTGGGACTGAGATTATTTGAAGAAATAGTAGATAAAAACTTCCCAAATTTGCTGAAAGACATAATGTACAGATTCAAGAAGCTAAGAAAATCCCAACCATAATAAATTCAAAGAAATCCATGCCAAGATGCATTACAGTTAAACATTTGGAAATTAGAGACAAAGAGAACAAT